TACGTATACGTATATATAATTATATATATACAAATACATGCATAGATCAACTAATCAAATTAATTTCCCGCAAAAATGCAAAATGCTGATTGACTAGTGACTAGTGGATCTCTTCATTTTACTTTGGGCTCCTATATGCGTTCTTTCTAATCAGGTTGGGATCGGATTGTCCAAGAGTCTCCATGTTTCTTGATGGAATGAATTCATAACCCCACGAAACGGCTTGTAAAAAAATAAATGCAGTGATATCATATGATTATATATATATAACAATAATTCATATGATTGTATATCTCCATATGCCAAAAAAACGGTCAAAACAAAGCACGCCGTGTCGTGTAGGCGAACGCTTCAATGACGGCAAGGTGGACCCCCTGGGCTGCTACTGGGCCGGCACCCTCTGCCGCGATGCCTCCGAAGAGATTGTGCCCAAGGCGGCGAAGCTCTACCGACGTTATGGGGACGGCGCGGTGAAGATGGTCATGGAGGAGCTGAGTATCTCCAATGGTGCCTGGGATTATGAATTCTTGGCTAATTCTTGGTGATTTCTAATTTATTATTGTTCTTTTGATGGATGACTATCATTTTTTGCTGATTGTTGTTTTTTTTTCTGCCTTTCTGATTGTTATTCATATTACTGACTGTTAATCGCGATTATTTGTATTGACTATTATTGTTCTTATTCTGATTGGCAATTGTTGGCTTCTATTCTTTGCTGTAAATCATCCTTATTCTTAGTGGAGGTAGCCATGGAAGGCTATGGTTTGATTTTCCACATCTACGCTAATGTGGTGTAGATTATATAATGGGGCAAAATACTGTGAAATAAGGTTTTGTTTGGACAGGGCCTTGCTTCGGGGGGGTTATATAATGTGGGAAACCTGGCCCAAGAATTCAATTCAAAACACCTCACCTACCCCAAATCGCGAAGACCGGCTCATAGCTGAGGCAAACAGTTGCTTTTCCATGATATCTCACCATCACTCATTCAAACAACCCCCTTGCAAAAAACAGTTGCTACCTCTGTTTCCCCAAACGCGTTTTGTTTTGGGGGAGAGATAGGTTGGGAGACCAAGTCGTTGTGCGGGGATGTAGCGACTAGGCCCTGCGAACGCAACCGTCATTCGTATGTCGAGGCTTGGTTTGGAGCAAGGATCCTCGAATGAAATCGGCAGGCCCTTGTGATGAATTGGGTCGGGTATGGCCAGTTGATCCACCAGCCATAAGGTATCCACAAGGGGTTTGGAGAGGGCGTTGCCTCCTGATTTTTTTCTATCTTTGGCATCCTATTGAGGGGAAAGGAACTCCTGTGGTGTCAGCCATGGGGTGCTTGGTCCTCATGGGCTACTCGCCTGCGTGTGATGAAAATCATCTAAACCAGGCCTCAAGGTCAGGTCTCCATCAGCGTCACTCCAGAGCTGGTTGCATCCACAACCTGTGTGGTTTTTGGAGATCTCCCTGTCCCTTTATATCCCCATAAAATCCTGTAAAATCCTCATGATACTCCCCATGCCAAGGATGGGCAAACCATGTACTACATCGACACCCCTTCGGCCCAAATCGACGCCATGGATTTCACCGCTGGCGAGGTCTCCAACCGCCGTGCTGTGGTGAAGGGCTTTGACTTCGAGACCACCGGCTTTCCGGATGGGTCGCTCGCCTATGGGGAAGAGATGGGAAGAGGGGTAAAACTTTGGCCCAAAGTTTGGGGTGAAATCATCAGCAGAATCAGCAGAAACTCTACAAAGATTGCTGTGCTCAGATGTTGGTCCAATGGGGGTCCTCTTGCGCCATTGGAACTGGGACAAAAAACCCTGTTTCGACGTCAGGTGTGCAATTGACCTTGAGGAGTGGTCTGGGGGTTCTGCTTGAAAGCAATGTAGATGTTCACGTGTAGGTGCTAACACGTGCTAACGCTACATGTGGGTCTAGTTACACAATGTTACACATACATTGATAGAGACGTAGAAGCCAACGTGAAGTAGATGAAACATCCCACATCTCTTGTATTTGGGCTGCAGCTGTCACAGGACCGCCTGTGGGTGGCCCGTTTCAACGGTGGGGCCTGCGGTTGCTATGACCCCAAGACAGGCAAGATGCTGGCAGAAGTGCGAGTGCCAAAGGAAGCAGGGCGGCAGGCGCAGGGGCACCTTGGGCAAAGTACCCTCCCTTAACAAACATAGCTGGCTGGAAGATCCCTAAACTAGATGGGAATTTAAATAGGAGAATCATCGATACACTGGAGATTTTCCATTGTACCGGAGGGTGGCATTCCTTAAAACCAATCGTAAACCAGAACCATTAGAACTACTTTCACCATGTTGCAGACTATAGTACTATAGTGCAAAGCATGCCTGTGTCGGGTTTATGATTGGGTGTGTTACGTTAACGAGACACACATTTGCCCCCATGTGGGTCAGCGCGCCTGTGCCAATAACCTGCAAGTTGACATCGTCAAAATTGAACATCATGTGGGCCTCGGTGTCACGGCCCCTGCATCTTGTTGCGTGACTTTGGGGTTGATCGGTCGTGCGTAAAATCAATGATTTTGAAGTGTTGCCATGTGCCTGTACTCACAATCCTCTGTGTTTCGTCTTAAGCTTAAGATGGAATACCTTCAAATTCAACTCCCTCCTCTTCGAAATATGCGAAAATGATATGATATACTGATATCTTACTAACTAGACTCATATTTCAATCATATCTTAATCGTATTTCAATGTATTTCATCCTTCTCCAGGCGGCCCCCGTGAGGTGACTTCTGCTGCCTTTGGCGGTGAAGATCTGCAGGATTTGTACCTCACCACGGCCCGGGAAGGCTTCGATGAAGCGAAGGGCAAGGACTTTCCGTGGCTCGGTGGTTTTCGTGCTGGGCATGGCTTGTTTTTTTCGGATTTTTAGGAGACCCAAAGGGATATCCTAAACCGACCTAAGTCGGGCCATGGATCAACGCCCAGATTTTCGAAATGATCCAAAACACTTTGGCGAGAGGAGGGGGGTACTTACTACATCTTATTACTTATTCCTCGAAAGGACGGTTTGGATCTGTGACTTCTGAGGTTAGCCGGGTCCTTGTTTGTGGTGCCAGCCGCCCGAAGCTCAGGGTCAACTTGGCAGATGCCAGCATCCACAGCACGAACGTGATTTCACTGGCGATGATGGGCGGAGAATATATGTACACACACAAACGATATATACACACAAACGATTAATATATACTAATATATATATATACACACATATACTGTACAGACATATATATATATATACACAGTACACAGACACGGGTATAACAATTTGATACAATTTGCATTTATTGGAGGTTTTAATGGGACAATCATCTATAAATGGGCCATTTTCCATGGCTATGTTAAATAACCAGAGGGTATCTAATCATTCTGTTTTATTGGACCGATTCTTTGTCCACCCAGGCCAAGCTACAGGAGATTTGTCCCGGCGTCCGGGGGCAACCGCCCAACCATTTGAAGCTTAGTTCCTAAGGGGATGGAAGGACTCCCAAGGCAACAGATGTACAGAAACCTTGGGATTTCTATGGATTTTTATGGATTTTGATGGACTTTGAAACATGTCAAAACAATAAGTTAAAACAGCTAGGTGTTTCAAGACACGAAGAAACTTCGAAAGCCACCGGTGGGTGCACAGCATCATATGGCACTTGGGCCATTGTCGACAGAACTTGGTCGCCACGCCCCCGGTCGCTCCTTAGAAGAAAAAGGGGCGTGCGGAGTGTCAGGTCTGGGAAGCCCAAGGATAAGGTCTCTAGAATGGATGTAACTGTTAGCAGTGCCATTTTTTAGGCATCATGTTGAATTAGGAATGCGAATATGTCACACCATCCCAGAATTGGATGGGAAGATTTACAGGAAAGCCGCTATAGTTTGGGGTACGGTAAAACCAAATGGTTCTTGTAGATTTTCCCTTCCACCCATCCATTCACACCGGAAAATCATGCCCCTTGTGGATCCTTGTGGCAGGTCACCTCGGAGGTTACGCGCGCCGATCTGCAGGCCAGGGCATCCCTTGGATGATGCCCGATGACCAACACCTCCTGAGATGGGTTGAAGATGGCTAAAGTATGTTAAAGCCACCAACCAGCAAAGGATGACAGATCACTTATGCATGCGTGCTGCAAAGAAAAGGCTTGGCAGGTAGGTTCCCAGCTGCCATATCATGGATCTGCAGGTGGGTGCACATGGCCTGCAGGAGCAAAAGTCACCGTTTTTTCGAGTAACATTAGCACGAATCATTAAACATTCATCATGTCAGAATTTAGGAGCAGAAAAAAATGATAACACACGACTCATGACTGATTGGAGGGCCTTCTTTTTGTTCTACCATCCAAAATGTTAAACATCACAGACCTTCACAGTTTGACTCAACACAGCACGATGAGCCAATGGGTAGCAGCTCGGAAGCCACAACATGATGAGCTCGGGCTGGGCTGAGAAGTCATGGAGGCTCAGGTTGTGGCCATCGAAGTGAAACCCATCCTGGGGCGACTGGGCACCTGTGATGTTGGCAGGGCTGGGGTTTTTGTTTAGTGACTTTAGTATACTTTAGTGAGAAAATGGTTGGGAAAAAAAGGGGAAACCAAGATATCCCAGTTCTTCAGTGGCTTTCTGCGTCACAACATTTACAAACATCCTAAATCGTCCAATCCACATCTATCAGTTCTCTTGATTTCGGTTCTTCAACTCCAAATCCGCCACGTCAACCGATCACAGAGCTTTTGCCATCAATTTTAGGCTGAGAACGTTCCCTTCAGCCTGGGAACAACTGATACTTCCCATGAGAACTTCCTCATCTTTCTCTCAATGGATTGGTTTAAGGGAAAATCTACAGGAAACCATAGATTTTCCCATTAAATATGGGGCTTTCCTGTAAATTTTCGCCTATCCCAATCCATTGATTCTCCATATTTTATGAACTGACCCCTCTTCCCCAGCCCAAAGGCCACCGAGGATCGGCACGGTGACCTACGCCACCGGCCTCGCTTTCGGTGCGGACACTGCGGCGCCGTGGATTTTGAGCACCTGCCCCGTGCCGCCCAACCACGCCGTGGCGGTGGCCTTACAGGGCCGGGTGCTGGAGGCTCAGGTGGTGGCCAACGTCACGGTGGAACGATCCACTGAGGCGGATGAACTTCGAATCAAGTCGTGATTACCCTCTGGTAATTTAACATAGCTATGGAAAATCACCATTTTTAATGGGAAAACTCACTATAATAATAGGTTTTGACCCACCCCTGTTTCCAGGCATCGGACCACACATTTCAGTCTTGATTTTGGAGAAATTGATCCATCTTCAAAAGTCAAATCAACAGTCTGGGCCTGGGAAATAGGCAGCCCTCAAGACGTTTTTGGGATCCCACCACTAGGGAAACCAATACTCAACAGCCGGCGATGCGGCGGGGAGGCTTTCAGCAGCTTAGCTTCACGCGGTTGGCGTTGTGGCAGCGGAGGGTCCTTTCTGGAGCCTTCCATGAGCTGTAGGTGGGTGAAACCAGCGGCCGGTGGCAGGATACATTGGGACTTTTTTGGCGGATGAAGATGTGCTAATATGTCTATATTTGATATCATCATACAGCATCACTAACATTATATACTCAGATGGGGATGGCTCAAAGCCTATGAAATTATCATAAATTATCATATTTGGAGAACAAACATCCATTCACCGGCTATTTTGAGGGTTTTGACCCATAACCAGATCTATATCTCTATATTATCTCACTATACCGGGACAGCAGTGTGACAGCTGGAGGTTGCAGCTGCTGCTCCTTCGGCCCAAGCTTCGTCTGGAGGGCTTGGAGACGCGCCAGGCACTGCATTGGGTTCAACCAAGGCAGAGAATTCCTCACAGAGTCCTGCAACTGGTACCCTCTGGTAATTGTCAAAATAGCTATTGAAAATGGCCATAGAAATAGTGGATTTTCCCATGAAAAATGGTGGTTTTCCATAGTTATGTAAACGTTTACCAGGGGGTAAATCATTAGAACGGTGATACACTGATGATTACGACGATTCACCTCATTTTTGGAATGTGACTCCTGACTCCGGAGAGATTGATCATCCAGTCGTTTAAGAAATTGGATAAATGAATGTGCAGAACATCTTTTGCTATATTTTGCTATATTTTGCTGTATTTTGGTCAGTGAAGTTCGAAACAGTTCCCAGGGCCAGTCGGTGGATCCCCTCCCGGAGGCCCAAGGCCATTCCGGGACCCTGCGCGTCTCCTTCCGCGACTGCTGTGCTTCATGGATCGGTCAACGGGTGGCGCTGCATGCTGCGCCCTTCGGTGCCCGGGTGGATGCACCGGGGGCGACCACCTGGGCACGCTTCGCGCGCGTGGTGATGCAAGGCGCTGGGGTGATGAACCTATGATGTTTGGACGATATTTGGTGGATATTTGGTGGAATAGAAGGGTTTATGCTGGTGGAATTGGTGGGATTCTGTGGGATTCCAGATTTCTCAGATAGGGTAATCTGATCGTGCTCGCATATCTGTACGGCAACAGCGTTTGCGCAGGCCAATTTTCAGTGGGGTATAGTGGGGTTGAAGGTCTGGCAGGGGATACAAATCTTTGACCCGCAACGGCAGTTGTGAGATGTGATCCCAGTCAGTTGAGATTTTTTCCCTCCTATTGGGGGGTTTCCCACCTAGGGTTATTAGAACGGCTTCCTGACTATTGGTTGCCATCGGTTAAATCAATAAATAGATATTATGATATACATATAGATGAATAAGTACATATAAAATCTATAAATTAATGAATATATAAAGAACTATATGCACCACTGTATACCAATTGGTGGTTGTATGCCCCAAATGTTCGTTGGCCAAGCTTGTCTTTACAAGATTCATCCGATTTGAGTACATAAGTCAATGATCATATACCAGCGAACGCATGAATGTTCCCGATTCTTGGTTGATACCGCTTCTACATCCCTCTTGCCAGGTAATGTTCTCATATGGGTGTGTCTGAAAATAGTGTACCCCTTTTTACCCAATGGTTTTGCTGATCATTCTCCCGTTTTTAAATGGCTATTTCATTGGGAAGATTAACCCAACATTTTCAGACAAACCCTGGTTGTGTTTTTTTAAAGTTGGGGGTGGGTCAAAACCTATTATTATAGTGAGTTTTCCCATTAAAAATGGTGATTTTCCATAGCTATGTTAAATCTCATATGCCACACTAATATGTGAATCATTCATCGCTCTCCCTAGTGAGATGATGCATCAACTTATTTTTCGCTTAACAAAATGCGATCAGAGAAGCCTCCTTTAAAAATGGCTTACCCTTCTGTAAACTGACATAGATTTGAAAAAAAAGCACTAAATGAATGTATATGATTAGATTGTTTTCCAAGGGAAACCAGTTTTCCACATCGTTTTGTATGTTTTTCCTTGGGCATATCATAGTATATATCCCCATTCATATTGAGTCTGCTATATTTTTTGCAAACAGTGAAAAGCCTTGCAGGCACATCACAAGACGCACACCTCACTCCCCCCCAGTCAAAATCAGATTCCAATGAGGTTTCCAAGCCCTAGTGGACATGCGGTCACACAAACTAGCTTGAATCAGGATAGTCCACAACGCTGTCTTGCAACCAGAATTGAGATGAATGCCAACAGCCTTCAAACGAGCTAAGCCGAACTGGCCACCTGTTTTGGAAGAAGAAATCTCAGGGCATAAATCCGAAAAGGCTTCTTTGACAAAATGCATCCAGTGACAACGAAAGCGCTGTACAAGAGTTGAAAATCCCAGCTCCGGAAACAGGAAACCACGGACGCAGCCATATTTTTGCAACAAATTCAACCAAAAAGAAAGCTAAAGGGGTGTATCGCATCAAAGGGTTGGGACCGTGACCCCAGTCTGTTTCTATAATACTCACGGAGATCAACTCGCGTTTTTTCTATATCGGTGCTATATTCCACGCATATCCCATCAATATTCCATGAATATTCCATGAAGATATCATTGATATCCCCCATTGATATCCCCTGAAAATTCCATTGGTGGAGCGGTAACGGTTGAAACGAGGCGTCGTTTCCAACCTCTCCTGCCCTCCGGGGCTTCTCATGAGCGACGTCCATGCGGCTGAGAGCTGTGCCGGAGCTGCCGTGGTGCTGCAGAGCAGCAACGAGGTGGGAGATGGATGGAAAATCAGTGGGCCCAGATTTATAAATCAATATACCATCTGGTAAACTAACATAACTATGGAAAATCACAATTTTTAATGGGAAAACTCACTATAAATGGCCATTTTCAATAGCTATGTTAAATTACCAGAGGGTAAATCAATCTATATATTTAAAAATCTTAAGATTGAAATAAACATAATAAACAGACGGTGGGAAAATTGAGATAAGGATAGATAAATAAATCTACCTAGAAAAGTGTAAAGTAATCTAGCTATATATATATATATACATATAGCTATCTATCTGTCTATCTATCTATGCTGTGCAGCACAGGGAAGTCTGGTCAGGCACACCTCTAAAGTGCTGCTGCGCTGTCCCTGCAGGTCATAGCTTTGATGGCCCCCTCCCTCCGAAGCTCTTCAGGACTGGGTTCTGAGCATCCAGGAACTCCGTGGATGCGAGAAGCCATGACGGCAAAGCCATGAAGGAAATGTGAAACAGGAACTATCCATACATCAAGGGATGAGGACGAGGATGAGGATGAGGATGAGGACGAGGATGATGAGGATGAAGATGAGGATGAAGATGATGATGATGATGATGATGAAGAAGGAGAAGAAGAAGAAGACGACGACGAGGTTTACAGGGCAGAGAGGCTTTTCAAATCGCCCATTTTTGTTTGGGTGCTTGATGAAGGTTGTAGGATCCCTGAAGGATCCTGAAGGCAAGCTGCAGAATCATTGCGTCGAGCTTTCAGGAGAATCCGTGGCGCTGAGTCTGGCCATTCCCATGTCGATGATCTTGGATACCTTGCTGGACAACGATGCCTGTAACCTGGCCTTTCTTGTCGCTGGGGCATTCATGGGGTAGGTAGTAGCATCATGAATGGCAACCAAGAATGGACACATGATCTTGTATGACTCTCTGGGCGATACCGACGGTACCCTTCCAAATACTTCCAATCTTCCAATTTTTCATTTGTAAGGAATAGAATAGAGCCAATAGTGAAAACCGAGGTCGAGAAGAGCTGAAGGAAGAACTAGCTGCGCTGCCCGTGCCCTGCGCGTTTGAAGCCTCCCCACCTTGTGAGGTGCAGACTGGGACATGGGTTCCAGGTCCAAGCAACCACTGGTTGCAGCATAAAGAGACGACCCCCAAACAACCAACAGGTATAACTGATGGTATATAAATAATGGCACTTTTCAACCGGCCCGATCCCTTGATTTTTCTGGGTTGGCTGTGAGGTGAGACAAGGGGTGGCCCTGCTGTGGCTGGACAGCGGCAGTTGGGCCAGTGCCATTGTCCTCAGCGAGCAGGGGCACCTTTTGACTTGTGCCCATTTGCTGACTTCTGTGTCGTGGATGGAGTGCCGGATGGGCGAATGGAACCTTCTCAGGGGAAGTTTTCAAAGGGGATCTGGTCTTGGCCGTCTTGGCCTCCCCTGTGCATCCCAGTCAGTACTGTAGGGCCTGTAGGGTCAGTATAGGTCACTGTATGTGGATGATAAGCCAGGGATATAATTACCCTCTGGTAAACTAACATAAACTAACATAGCTATTGAACATGGCCATTTATAGTGGATTTTCCCATTAAAAATGGTGATTTTCCATAGCTTTTTTGACATAACCAGAGGGTAGTCTAACTGGGTGCCGGCTCCACCCTTCGACAGGAGGGGCAGCAAGTGTCTGGCCACTCCACAGCACGGCAGTGCAGGGGCAGATGCTACCTGTCACAGGAGGCGATGCCATGGATTTCCACGGGTTTTATTGGGAAGATTTCACCAACTTAAGCATTTATACTACTGTGGATGGTTGCGAAATCCTGCACCAGTTGATAGGCTGTTTATCCCATTATTTATAGGGTTTCAACCATTCAAGGTGGTGCAGGATTTCTTCCATCCACTGTAGTAGATTCAAGAGGGGATTTTCAATGGGATTTCCTCTCCAACAGATAAACCTTCCAGCATCCTGTGGCTTCTGCATCCATGTTTGCTAGGCAGAGGGTACACGCGGGGATTCAACTATTGATAGGGCATTTCACAATCATTATATAGATGGGGAGACAACCATCAATCAATAGGGGGGTTGAACCCAACAAACGGGAATTGACCCAGCAACATGATTATTTTCCACTGGTGTTCAAGCATTCAAGCACCAATCATTGGATATATCTTGGGAAAGGGTGGAAGAGACCAATGAACTTCCATTTCTCAGCTATCCTTGTGTTCACCAAGTTGCCAGGATTTTGACCCATACAGAAATTCAGAAACTCCCAATGCCTGTAGGAAAGGAATTTATTAAAAGCAACTGACAGATTAGACAACCAGAGGCCCAAAGGATAGTTCAATAAGGGGTATGACTTCACAACCACCACCAGACTTGATAAGTTTAGATCAGCTTAGCCACCTTTTCAACCGGCACGCAGCAATTGGCTTGAATGTGAAAGGGAACACCCAATTGGAATCGCTAGCTTGCAAGCACCAATCCTTCTCCATGTCTTGCTCTTGCAGTTGCCAGGGAAAAATTGTGTCAACGACCTTTGCCTCTTGACGGGATTACGGGAGGGTGGTGGGTGCTCCTTGGTCGTGTCTCCAGAATCAGAATCCAGGGCGGATCCAAACCCAACCGGGTAATTATCCAAATGACTTCAGGCGATCAAAAAACTGGGGCTGGGGCTGCCTTAGTGGCTGAGGAAACTGGGGTTACAAAGCCACAAACACTTCAGAAGTGCATCAGCTGTGTGCGCAGTGTGCGCCTTTTGATTCGGGGAATGTTTTGCTGTGTCCTTGACATCCAATGACAGAGTCCTAGATCCAGATCCAGATTTTTACTGCCAGGAAGCTGATGTGCTGCAAATCTTCGAGGGATGTTTGGACGCAGCTTTGCTCCTGGCGCGACCCATGAGGCGGCAAGTATCCAAGCCAGAACTGTCAAAATCCTGGATTTGGGGAATTCAAAAAGTATAAACACTGGCAAATGTAGAAATTTGATCGGCAACCATTCGGGATCTGCTGAAAAACATGTGGACTTATATTGATATAGATGTAGATGTAGATACTGTATGATACTGTATATAGATATAGAGATATATAGATATGGAGAGAGAGAGAGAGATATATATATATAGTCCTATATATAAATGTATGTATCATGAAGACTAAAAGGTCAACCTCCTGTTGGCGCCTGTGCCATGGCCAGGCATGGTGTGCCCCCTTTGTTCAACCCCTCGCTCTGGCAGCGGCGTGCTACGGCCGAGGAGCTGGTCCAAGGCATTGAGGTGCGGACAATGCACATCATTTTTCTAGCCAGTTTTACAGATGATTTCCCTGTTATTATTTTAGGGGGATTTTCCAGTGATTCCAGTGTCTAGGTTGGATAGATCTGGAGGCCTCATGAGTGAGTTTGATTGATGAGTAATGTCAACCCTGGATTAATAAACCCCTAGTCTATTGGAGGAGTACCCCCTTAATTAATAAACCATGGTTTATTAATCCGGGGTTGACATTAGACATTTCCAGTGTCGCTTCTTGCAGGTCTCCGCAGTGGGCTATGGCCTCTTTGGTCCTGGTTGTCCTTGGCAGGGCCCTGCCGTGACCACTGGTGCCTCGGAGATGATGAGACCGATGAGACCGATGAGACCCCCATCTTTCGTCCAGGACGTAACTTGCAAATTGGGATTTACCATCTGGTTATGACTAACATAGCCATGGAAAATCACCATTTTGAATAGGTAAACCATCTATAAATGGGCCATTTTCCATGGCGAACTGTTAAATAACCAGAGGGCAAGCAGCATGAATAAAGATGTATATAACGACACAGTGATATTTTACGTGGACACCAGTGATTTACATACATGTAGCCACATCCCAAAATCTCTGATTGTAAGATGCTCATTTCTATCCATTTCTGATGGTCAGTCAAATCGCACATTTTCATGATGAAATCTCTTTTGCTGACAAACACATTGCCATTTTGGATAGCCGTCATCCCAATGCTTGTGATCCTTCACTCCCACTCCTCCGCGGCTTAAATCATCATTTTCCATCTTCACCATATTCTCATCCATGGTCCGATGGATTTTCATCTTCACCATTTCCATCTTTCCATCATTTTTTGATGCTTTCCCAAGAAAAATGCTTTCCGGGCAGCCCAGGCCAGCTTTGCAAGATCGCCTACAGCTGCCGTCTGGACGGCGGCCGCCGCGCGGCGGTGCTTCAGAGCAGTGCGGCGGTGCATCGCGGGTGCAGCGGTGGGGCGTTGGTGGCGCAGGGAAGGTGACCTGATGGAGGGGTTGGGGGGTTGGGGTGTCGGGAGGTGGGGGTTTCGTAGAAATCATGGGATATAGATGGATAAAGCTCAAGCTAAACCTTCATTCTCGCGGATTGATTTGACACATTTTGAAACAAAGACATGATTGTGGAACGCAAGTTATTCCACTTATCCAAACACCGAATGGTAAGATTAAGTGTTAAGGGCTCTCGTCTTTGATCCAGCTTGTTATGTTTGTTGGGGCTCCATGCCGAATTGGCAAAGCATTGTTTTCAGCTGTTTGTACCTGAAAGTTCATGTTTGCATTTGAACATGTCAATCCAGGTTGACCCTGAGGCCCAGCCACCAAGATCAATGCCACATGCAACGTTTGCCATCCCAAACATGGCTGATGCCATTTTTTGCCTCCAGATGATGGGATTCGAGTAAGTTTGCCCAGCCATCCTAAAAATGTGAGGATTTCAGCCAATATTGCCATCTCTTGAGGTTGCTTGGCATGGTCACCACCAATGTGAAGCAACAGGCCCTGTGTACTGAGGGGTGGGATGGTCAGACAGCCTTTTATTCTTGGAAGGGATGTGTGGCCGATTGATTGTGCAGAATTGTATGAGTTTTCGAAGTTTTCGTCCAACTGACATTTCGCATCAGTTAAACTGACAGGATGGATCTGTGATGCCACACGTGAACTTCATTTTGCCGGTGACACTGTTGACTCCGATCTGTGCGCCATGGGGCTGGTGGGGGTGATGGGTGGAACGGGCTCAACCAACGGCTGAGGTACATATCTAGAGAACCTGAAGGTTCTCCCTGCAGAGCAGGCGTTAAAGAGATTGACGGAGGACCTGTCAGAGTTTACAGTTTGCATATTGTTTACATGTTGTGGAAATGGCTGGCTGATTTTTTAATGGCCCAATGAGGACCAATGAGGCGGCGATTGAATAGATGAATGCAGGGAAAATCATGGAGAGCATCTTATGAAAGGATATCAGATAAGAAACATATCCTAATTCCACTGACTACCTAACTATACTCATCAACCAATCTAAGCAAAAAGAATCAAAAGCATCGAAGAAGCACCAAGAACTCATGAACTTGAGACAGTTAATAGATATTTTAGATACTTCATGATACTTCCCGAGAAAAAAGAACATCTAAAAAAAAATCCACTCGCAGCCGGGGACGGCCATCGGGCAGCGAGGAGCTGCGCTTCTCTGCGGCCAACGAGGAGGAGCAAGGCCTCTGGCGCCTGGAGACTGAAACCTTGGAACTCCCGAGCCGTGCCTCGGGCTTCGACAGATGGAGATCACATGAAAACTACCATGGCTTGGGAAAAGCCATACAATTTCAGAGATTTTTTTTTTTGAGGACTTCTCCTTTTTCTTGTTTTTGTTTTGGTCTCTCCGTTTGTTAATGCTGGGCTGTCTTTTTTCTGGATTTCACTGAGGAAACCAGTGCGGATCGTAGTTCCTGTTCGGGGAGAACTTTAGATACTGATATCACTGATATATTTTGCTGTATTACTGTAAGCCGCTGGTCTTTTTGGGGGTTGATCCATTTTTGAGAGGGCAAAGCTGTGTGGAGGCCCCCCCGAGTTTCGAGGATGAAGAGTTCAACAAGGAATACTGTACGTATATCAGTATATCAGACATATTGAAACAGCCGCACAGTGTTCAAGTGCGGAGAATGATCCGTTTTCAGTGCATAGGCTTAGTTCGATTTGTTTCTGCGCAGTGAAGCCAAGTGCTTTATGCCCAGACATTTCGACGGGCATTTCCCAGCCTGTTTTTTTTGGTGAGTTGATGGCACGGAATGCTTCTGTAAGGGTTGTCCCATGTTTTTCTCTCAAGCACGCAGCTCATCTTGGTCTTGTCCTGGTTCTGCGGCACCACTGGGGAATCCAGGGCCCATTGGGCTCGCCCATCTCAGGTATGCTGGCGCGGTCCCTTGATGGCACTTAAAATCATCCGGAGTCAGGATACTCGGATACCCCCAAGGCAAGCTCTTTAAGGAAGGTATGTCAGGCAAAGCGTGTGCGGCGTGTGCGTAAAAATAGATCAAGAAGTTCCATCTTCCACCAAAATTCATCAAATTTCCCATGGAAACTCCCATGGTCTACCAGATTTTAGACCCATCCATTGACCCATCCATCATCCAACCTCCCAATCCATGGATTCGACCAGGAAACGCCACGCCCTTCGTCGCCTGGATCAACTCCAAAAGGAGGCGGAGGAAGAGGTGGCCGATGGATGGTGTGGATCCAATCAAAACAGGATTTACACCAAAATCTTCAGGAAATCATGGGAAAATTATGAGGGAACTTCCCAATTCAGACATGGTGATGTTTTGAATCAATTCTAGAGCTTGAACACGAGGTTTCTAGACCATTGGAGTGGGGCACATCATTTTTGGAGAGACCTGTGTGTCAAAACCGAGGGTGAAGTTTGGACAGATTGTGGGATTAGCTTTATTTTGTTCTAAAACAATCCTGGAATGTAAGAACATGTGACACGATCCAATGAGACCTAGGAGAATCTGAAGTTGGGAGGTTGATCCGGTTGATG